TATGCATTGATAGCTTTTAACAGACACTGCATTACTCTATAATGAGTTTTATGGAATTCATACTCCTAAAACAATCTGTGACAATATTCATTTCCCCATACTCTTGCCAATAGAATAGTATCAGTCAAAAATAAGTTTTGCCTATTTGATGAGTAAATAAAATGCTATTTTAGATTATATTCTATTTATTTATTTTGTGATGTGTGCTGGGGATTGAATGCGGTGCTTCCCATATGTTAAAAAGTGCTCTAACACCAAGCTACCTCTCCAGCCCCATAAAGTATATTTTAAATCAATATAGAGATTAAATGATATTTATTGTATTTAAAACATTTAAAAAATATGTCCCACCAGGTGCAGCGGCGCAGGCCTGTAATCCCAGGAGGCTGAGGCAGGAGGATCATGAGTTCAAAACCAGCCTCAGCAAAAAGCAAGGTGCTAAGCAACTCAGTGAGACCCTGTCTCTAAAAACAAAACAAAACAAAACAAAAATGGGCTTGGGTTGTGGCTCAGAGGTCAAGTGCCCCTGAGTTCAATCCCTGGTACCAAAAGAAAAAAAAAATGAAAAAGAAAATGAAATGTCTCAAATTGTACGAAATTCTTTTAGGTTGTGTCTTTCTTATTGATTTATAGTTTTGTTTTTTTTCTAACTATAAATGTTTGTATGTATGTAAACATGCCTATCAATTCTTTTAAAAATATATGTTGCAGATGTTTATTTTAGTTTATTGCTTGATTTTAAACTTTTGTTTATAAAATCTTTTCTTGTATAGTTTTCAAAGTTTTTTATTTAATATTTATTTTTTAGTTGTAGTTGAGCACAATACCTTTATTTTATCTATTTATTTTTATGTGATGCAAAGGATCAAACCCAGTACCTCGCACATGCTAGGCAAGCATTCTACTGCTGAGCCACAACCCCAGCCCCAAGTTTTCAAAGTTTTGTGCAGAACAATTTATTAATTTTTTTTGCTTTATTAATGCATTTTCTAGATTCAATCCCATCCTTTTCTATCATCCTATGTATGGATCTGTTTCTAGACTATTTCTTTATCTTGCCTTTGCACACTGATTGTGAATCCTAGCTTTTTAGTACAGTTTCACTATCTAACTATCTAGCAGGACAACACTTGATCCATTTTTATTTTTCTCTCCTCCCCACTTTTTTTTTGGTGAAGCTGGGGATCAAACTGAGGACCTTGTACATTCTGGGCAAGTGTTCTCTACCACTGAGCTACATCTGCAGGTACCCCATTTTTCTTTTCCTAAATTTTTCTGGGTTCTTCTTTCATATATTCTCTTCCCTTTTAATTTTAAAATTGCCTTGTCAGGTTTCATCAAATATTGTTTAAATTTTGATTGGAACTTCATTGAAATGAGAGATTCAATTTCCAAGCAGTGCTGTCTTTATAATTTTGGTTTTTGCAGTATTTGTATTGAAATTATAGCTGTACTTTTTATTCTTTAGAAGGAGGGTAGATATTGCATCTGGAATTGACTTTTTTATTGTTACTGTAATTTGAGGTCATTTACTGAGGTGGGAATTACACAGGGAGGAGGAGAGTTTAATAAAAGGAGTTTAATAATGAGATCTACTTAGACACATTCTGCTCGAGATATTTATGAGAAACGAAGATGGAGGTATGCACAACAAATATTGCTCTATTAATTTTGGTGACTTTTTGGAATGATAATATTGAAAACAGCAGAGCTTAGAAACTGTAGTGGTAAATTACTAACAAAGAAGGGAAAACCCACAATTTGCTGTTTCATTGTAATCACTTTACATTGAAAGATTCCTGGGACAAATAATTCTTGAATCATAGCTGGTCCTGCACCCTACTGCCTTCCCTTTCTCCAGGGACTTGTTGGAGCTGGATCTTTCCATCTTGGGTTTTAGCACAGCATGTTGGAACCTGGGTTTCCTAGGCAATCTAAGTGGTTAAACTCAAAGTGGTAACAGTAGCCAGTGATATTTCTCTCCTTTTGTACACAACAACTCTTATAGGATCCTCAATTTCTCTGTTTGCCATCCTCCTCAAATATCTCAGGAAACCCTGGGAGAAATTGTGGTGGGTTTTAAGCACAGACATCTTGGGTTTCTAATAGCTCTCCTTCTGCTAAACCTGCTTCACTCTTCTCTGGTGCCAATCAAGGCACTTGATTGACTTAAGGCCAATTCCCACTTTAGTCCCAGCACAGAGTCAAGCCAGCCTTCAGCCATGTTGACTCTCTATATACTATGTGAAAAATGCTGTAGCAGATGCACAAAAGCCCTGCTATATCCTCTACCAAAATGAGGAGCATCTTTCTCTTTTCCCCAATCATCATATTTCATTCTTACCTGGCCAGAGCAGTGATGCCTTGGGTTCTCAACAAACACCTGTGTACCTGGGATGTACTGAGTGATGCGCTCAGTATCTCCCTCCTTCTTCAATAATCCAGCAGTGCATGAGGTCTTGACCTTGAACCAAGCTTGTGAACCTGATTGTGGACCAGTCTCTTCAGTCTTGATCCCCTGCGTGAATAGACCTCTGGAGTCCCATCATTGGGACCTTCTAGAGTAGACCAGAATGTCTGAATCCTAAACTGACTCTAGTGTAGGTTCAAGCTGGAGCCCCTTCTGCTCATCTGAGGAAATGACTCAGAATCATGCATGAAATCTGAATCATACTAGTAGGCCCATGGCCATCTGCTCCTCCTTGGTAATGAAAGAGACAAATTGTGGTTTCAGGCATATGGCTTTTGCTATCAAGCCTCATTGTCTTCTCCTAATGGTGAAAACATACATTGTTTAAAACTATCGAGTTATGATAGCATGTGACTGAACATACAAGATAAGTTATAATTACCATTATATGCTCCAACTAATGGAGTAAGTATGAGATCAGGAATGGATGGTATGTGCAGAAAATTATGGCCATGGACAAAAGCTAAACTATTTCTTGCTCCCTTCTCTCTCTCTCTCTCTCTCTCTCTCTCTCTCTCTCTCTCTCTCTCTCTCT